ACTGTACTTAAGTACAGTAACGAAGTACTTGTACTTCGTTACTTCCCACCACTGGCTGCAGTGGAGAAGTAAAAAAAACAAACAAAAAAAAACAAAAAAAAACGTGGTGCTAAAATAAGATATCAGCATGCTTGGAAGAATATTTTGGTAATTAATTTGTCAATTCATACGAATAAGTGCTAGTCGTTGGCGGACAGCATTGTCTGTTCACCAACTGACTTTCAGTCGCCATGGTAACCAGCTGTTGCACTGTTTAATAGACAGATGGAGCAAAGCTTTGCTAGTACAATGGGGAAAATACGTGACACACCGTCTGCTTTTCAAGTTTTCCCGCTTACAAAGAATGGAGGGATCAATTTTTTTTTGTGTGGGTACACTTGAATTGTCAGAGACAATCTAAAAAAAAAATAATAATAATCTAATTTATTAAATTGTTAATTTGCATTAAATTTTATTAAATAAGTATTGGACGACCTGCCAACCAGCAAGAATCCTGTCTCTCTCACAGACCTCCACTAATTACATTTATTAAATGAATACATGCCACACTCAGTCAGTCAGGCTCCAGCCTTTCCACCATGGGCAAAAGCAAAGAGCTATCTCAGGATAGAAGGGACACAATTGGAGACCTGCAATATTGCAATAACAATGAATTCGAAATATAATGTGTAACACTAACTGACTCTCATTCAACTGGCAGGGTCTACCTTCCCCCAGAAGGGGTCATGTCTTGTTCAGGGAGAAGGACGAGAAGTTGTGTGCTTTGTTGCCTGGACAGAACAATGTTACCACAGATGTTCTTGAGATGGCCGAAACAAAAACACATCTGTCTCTTGTTGGCTGATGTGCATCATGTAAACTGTACATTTATTTTCTGATGTTGTGCTCAGCTCAGCTGCTCATCTCTGTGTGCTAGCAAACCTCGGTTTGTGTATGCTGCCCTCAACAGTTTATCATAATTCTGTGTTTTTAAATATCCTCCCAAGAAAATCATCATTAGAATCAGAAATATTTATACAAATTCCATTCTGTGTCACATAAGGGTAGTATTCTGCTATGATCACCGTGATAGCATCTGGGTTTGATGTTGAACAAGGCCTCGTTGACCTAGCAAGTACAAGCTAAGAATGCTGGTTATGTTCTAGAGTAAACCAGCGTGATACCAGTACAGAGCTGGATCTTTAAAAACCCTGCAGTTCTAATAAAACTTCAGTCTGCAATGGAAGAAAAAGGAGATTGACTGCATACCACTGCCAATACTGTTTTAAATTTCCCCAGACATATAAAAATCCCAAACCAGATGCACAATTTCTGGGAAATTGTCAAGGTTTAAAGAAAAAAAAAACACGTTAATAGCAGGAGAAGGAGAGCATTTAGTTATTGGTGGATTTTGTCTCAATATCTCAAGGTTTCACAGCCAAACAGACCAGACCAGGTGTAGCTTCTAAGGAAAGAAAAGAAATGCATAAACTGAAAACATAAAGTTATGACTTCCATTAACAGTAGATGATGCAAACTGAAATAGTAGAAGAAGAAAGTGGTAGAGTAAGGAAAAGTTGTTAGAAAACATTAGCAAACAAATAGCATCATTAATCTCCAGGTGATCTTCATGATGCAGAAATGCTTTTCTACAAGCAGAGATAAGAAAACTATTCACAGTTGGAGGGAAGATGGATGGAGCTAAATGCAGGGAAATCATGGAACAATAACCTCCTAAAGGCTGCAAAAGACTTCAGACTGGAATGGACACTCTCCTTCCAACAGGACAACAATCTTAAACAGCCAGAGCTACAATGGTACAATTATCTTCTAGAATGGCCTAATCAAACACCTAAATCCAAGAGGGAATCTGTGGCAAAGCTTGAAAATGGATGTTCCAGGATATTATCCAACCCGACTGAGCTTTAATTATTTTACTAAGAAGAAGTGGCACATTTTCACTGTCACTTCAGCCTCTGGAAAGTTTTTGTTTTTTCTCCCCCCCAATTGATCAATAAATCTGAGAAATAATATGGATAGTAAAAATGAGCAAAAACTCATCTTGGTGCGAAAATATAAGGCAGTTGGTTTGTATAGAAATGATTACTCTTCTGGGAACTGCTGGGATGTTATGTTCCTCAGAAAACAAGCAGATGGGCACATCAGTGCTCAAAGTACAATAAAGATGAAAACATGATGCTTTTTGTAACATAATAAAGAAATGTAACTGAGTCATACCAGAAGGTCTTGCAGTACGTGAATAATGAGAGACGGAAGGGGCAAAACATAAAAAACAGCACTTTCATTTTGCAATTCATTACTCAGTAGTAATTGTTGCATCTGATTTACCTATCAATATTTTATAGATATTTATTACACTCTCTTAGAGAAATTTCAGGCTTTATTGTGGAGTACAAGGACGGGCACACACACACACACACGCACGCACGCGCACACACACACACACACACACACACACACACACACACACACACACACACAAAGCTCTTTTACTTTATGTCAGGGTGTTCATGCAACCTTTTCCTTGGGGCAAAATCCATGAACAGACCACAGCCCATGCTATTCAAGAGAATTTCCTTTTTATGTGCATTGAAGAGGATAAGTGAATACGTATGTACTCTCCTAGAACATATCACAATCAGTCTGCTTTGTGGCTGCTATGACTCATTGTTATTCACTTTCTTTATTGTTAAATATTAAAAATGCTTAAAAAAGATAGTTATACTTTCTCTCATCCTGTGATGTTGCTGGTTTGTTAGCTGGAATCCAAATTTTCAAAAACATTTCCACTATTCTTCTATTTAACTCAATAAATTTATTTATTTTTTATCATTTTGGCTTGAGATTTTCTTAAGATCAGAGATCTTAAGCAGAGGTAACACTATCCTCATCAAGTTGCCTTTAATTCTACTTTTGGACAATTTGGAAACAATCTGTATGGTAAAAAATAAATGAATGAAAGGCTGTAAATATACAACCAGAGCCAAAATAAAATGGATTACATCCAAGTTTTTTTTTTACACAATAGAATAATCCGGTCCAGTTCAACATGCAATTTAGAATCTGTGACAAAACTTGAACATTATTTTCACAGAGCTAGCTATATAACTCGAATCTATCTATTTATATAAATTAAAATTTCTACTCACTCAAATGTTCAGCCTGAATTCATCTATCTATATGATGTCAAATCACCGCAACTGCTATTTTAGGAAACAGGTCAGGTATAAATGGAATCGCTCATTTATACCAGACTCATTTATGTCAAACTATAATTCACTTCGATGCAGTTGAACTCAGATTCAAATCCAAATACATTCATTTCAAATCAGTATGTTTCTAAATATGTTCGTTTCAATGCTGAAACTTCCAGTATGTGAGTCTGTGTTTTGCAATTTATTTCAAATATTCATTCACCTCAGACCTCGAAGGAAGCGTCCAGTGTTAAGCTGGCTCACTGGAGGGCGCTAACACAAAGCTGCAGGTAACAGGCAACAACTTGGGAAAGGAGGAGGCCATTCAATAGCCTGTTTTAGCCACTGTTAGCTAGCCCGGCGGCTAACGAGCAAGCTAAAATATCAATTGTGGCTTAATGACGCCTGTCCTGAATAGTGATGGCAAAAGAAAAGTGTTCACAAATCGAAGCAGGTGAGTGTTGGACGCCCCGTTAATTCACCACTAATAGTTTTGAATTCCCAGAGTTTGAAATTGTGTACATCAGCTGGTGAGCTTGGCAACCAAGCGAAGCCAGACGCTAGGTAGCGTTAGCACGGCTAGCAAGAGGCTAACAGCAAATTATTTTTTTCAGAACTGTATTACCTCATTGCCAGATTTCTACAGTCTGGGCCTTGCAAAAAGGCAGCACAGGTAAATTGTTACATTAATTTTATTTTAAAGTGGTATTATTGGTTTAAACGAACCGCAACGCTAGCCTGTCGGGCTAACTGTGTGTGTCTGTTGTTAGATTCTGATCGAGGAGCTGGAGGAGTATGAGGTAAGTTCAGCTGGACCTTTCTGTTCTTCTCCTGTGGGGTCTCCCTAATGTTGCCTATCTAAACCTGTCTGTGAGAAAGTCCGTGTATTTTTGGATCGCTGTTTAAAAAATGAGCGCGTCCTTTTGCCGTGTAGAAACTGTTAGCTCTGTGATATCTCTAACGGGTTGTTTTTAACTTTAGTTGGTTCCGCAACGATGGAGTTGGGACGGGAAGATATTCAAACGGAGCTTCCAAGACTGGGTGAGTTGCAAATGTATAGATATTTTTTTAATTAAAAGTGTATTGTTTTGTATTTTTTTAATCGACTGTTTTCTTTTTAACTTGTATCAATTCTTTAAATTAAATTCGCAACTCAGCATATGCGAAAAGGGGATTCGTTTATTATAAGGAAGATATATTAAAGATTTATTTTAATATGGGCCTGTTGATAAATAACTAAATGCTGGTTTCGCTATTGTGTAGGCTTGTGGGCTGGCAATGTCGAAGCAGCAGATTGTGATTGGCTTAATTTGATACAGAGACTTGTCGATCATCTTTAAAAGCCAATCAAATCGCTGTTGCGTCTGCGTCCTATCCGGAAGAATCTAAACGAACCATTTGATTTGCTGTGAGTTCCCAAGGCCCGCCTTCTGTATATCCACCCTTTTGCCCTTTCGGTGGATTTTTGTTTTTATTCGGATCGTTTTTATGTATGTCCTTATAAACTTCTTTTGTGTTGAAAAGTAATTTTCTTTCTAAAAGCTTCTTTCACTTTTCGTACTCTCCATTTTTAACACATCGCTGACACCGCTATTGTAGCGCCTTTTCCCACAATAACAATTTTCACACGTGCGTAAGCGCTTAGATATGGTGCATTCACTGATCAGGAAAAAAATATGGGTTTTTTAGTTTTCAACCAGCCGACCAGGGTCAGTCAACCATAAAACTGCCCAATTCCGGCCACCTCTAGTTTTAGCTGTTAACAAGTAAAACTATTGTTTTCTGGTCATGTTTACAAATGGTTAATAAGAAGAAAGGAAATAAAAATAAGCACTAGTAGGTGTAAAATTTAGAAAATTAGAAAAACAAGAGCATACTTACTCAGTCATTCACAAAGTTGATGCATTAGTTGACTTGTCACGGAGTGCAGCTGAGACAGGTGTTGCCCTGTTTCTCATCCAGGTGGCTTTGAACCAGCACATTCCTGCAGACTATCTGCTTCAGGTGTGTCGACGGATAGGTCCTCTGATAGAGAAGGAGATCCCACCTAGTGTTCCTGGAGTCCAAACACTCCTGGGGTTGGGAAAGCAGTCCTTGCTTCGCACCACCAAAAGTAAGCCTGTGTTATTATTCTTCTATCGTCTGTGTGTTGTTTTTTTGTGTGTGCTTTGCCTCTGCAGTTATTAGTGAAAGTTTCTATCATATGTGTATGATGAAGAGATTTCATTTCTAAATGTTTGCATTAATTGTTGGTTACATTTAGGTTGTACCCACAAAGTATGCTGCGGCTCAGCTGTGGCTGCACTGCACAGAGGGCGCCCACCTGAACCACCAGTTGTTATTGGGAATGCTCCTAATGTTGGTATGTTATTACAATAAAAGGGTGGAGAGTGAGCCGAAGCAATAAGCAGTTTTTCTGTATTATGTAATTTATCAAAATCATTCATATAATTATTTATTACTTATATTTACTTCTAACTCTTTAGCTTCATTTTGAAACTGAGGACCTGTATGTCTATGAGTATCTCTATCATGAAAACATTTGACAAACTTCTAGATTTGCAAACAACTTCTAAAATCCCAAGTAGAGATGCTTCAAAGACTCTCTGCTTTATGTTAAATGAAGAAATTTGTAGCCGCATACCTTCTGTCTGTTTTGACCTGTTTTAATGCCGCAAGTATTAAAATTAATACGTTTGACGACTGCCCTTTGTTGAACCAATTCAAAGACAAATTACAGTCTGCAGAACAAACACACATGATGAACACACCTGTATGCCAAAGCATTCCTAAGTCAGATATGAGGTCATCCGTCTGACACTGTCTGAACTGGGTCATGCAACACAAAACTCACTTTGTGTTGTTATAGTGGCATAACAGACCCTGTGGCTGTAAAATCCGAATCTTTTTTTTTTTTTTAAATTGTTGTGGTGAGAAAATGAAAATGCTAGTAAAGCTCAATGAACTAAACTGATATTTGAAAATGCAGTGATACAGGAAGTGGCTGCAATATGCATGTCATCGTTGATAATGTTTGTACGTTTACGACCTGCTTCTGCGTTTTGAGATGTGTTTTTGCTAAATAAGTAATGTGAGGGTGTAATACCGGTACGTTGTTTGTTATTGCCTTTGTTTTGGTTCTGATATGCGAATCGTTGGTGTTGAAAATACCTGTGTGTTTTTTATGTTTCTGGTGCCTTCTCATGACGAATCTCCTGTGTTTTTCACAAAGTGCCCGTCATGGGGGCTCGCCAGGCCACGGGTACGGCTCGTTTCGGCCAAGTCCTGCCGTCTTCCTCCTACCAACACATGAAGATCCACAAGCGGATCCTCGGCCACCTTTCTTCAGTTTACTGCGTGGCCTTTGACCGCACCGGTCGGCGGATTTTTACGGTGAGCGCCATCTTCACTCGCGTCGATATTTACGCCGTGTTTCAACTACGTCAAGTTGGAAACGGTGTTTTTCGTCCTGGTTTAGGGTTCGGATGACTGCCTGGTAAAAATCTGGGCCACAGACGACGGTCGGCTCCTGTCCACGCTCCGCGGCCACTCGGCGGAGATCTGTGACATGGCTGTGAACTATGAAAATAGTCTCATTGCATCTGCAAGCTGTGACAAAGTCATCAGAGTGTGGTGCCTGCGTACCTGCGCGCCCGTTGCCGTTCTTCAGGCTCATGCCGCTTCCATCACATCCATACAGGTGATGCCACTGTTGCGTTAATCTTTAGCGGGGAAACGGTTTCAGAACAAGTTGTAAGAAGTACACACTTTTTGAGTCTAAAACTATCTTGTATACTCTTAGTTTTGTCCTGCTGCCAAAGGGACGAAGCGATACCTCGCATCAACGGGTGCAGATGGTATGGTGTGTTTCTGGAAGTGGCACTCTCACAGTATGAAGTTTGAGTGAGTATTTGTGGCTCTATTCCAGTGGCCTGCACCCCTTAGGTTCCAAAGAGCCGTTTTTGAATCCAGTCCAGCTAAATAAGGCTCACTTATGTGTCACAAATGTGACATGACCTTTTGACTGAGATCTTTTAATTTTTAATGAGCAGCTACTAAAATACAACTCTTTATTTTTAAAGAACCAACATTTTTCTTTTTCTTTTTTTAAGGTTTTAAAATAAAGAAAAACGTAAACATTTTATGATAATGAGAATGAATACATTTTCTTCTGTAGGGTGTTGATATTATGTGGGGGGGGGGAATCAAATTTTGAAACTGACACATAAATGGAAAGTTACTGATACTTCCAGTGTTGTAGAAAGTAAATCCAATTAATCCATGAAAAACGATTAATTTGTTGTTATTACAGCTGTGTTTAAAAATATTATCAGCGCCAATAATGGCTCAAATAATTAATGGTGTAATAAATCAAATTAATAATAACAAAAATAATGATGAAATAATAGAAATAAAAGAAAAAAAAACTAAAAATAAATGATAAAATAATGGCTCAAGGAAATTTCAAAAAGCCACTTGCAGCAGGTTGCAGACCCCTGATCTATTCCAACATGTTAAACTCCAAGGTTTTATTTATTTAAGCTAACTGATCAACATTGTATTTGTCGTTTTTCCTCAGTGATCAGCCTGTTAAGTTTGTTGAGCGATCACGACCAGGAGTCCAGGTCTCCACTTCCTCTTTCAGTAGCGGTGAGTTGAATAAATGTTTCTTTATGTTTCGTTGTTGAGGTGGGCTTTGTCTAATTGTTTAAAAAAACCTGATTGAATCCAGACCAGCTGGCATGAAGATGCCTAAATATTTTTCTTTAGGCCCCCAGAGACTCCAATACTTTTGGGTCCAGGGGGTACTGCATGAGGGGAGCATGATGGGAGCGGCTGCTTATCTATGACATGTGGGCTGCATGAACCTGCAATGTTTGGTTCACATAGATAATGTGAAAGCGGAGAAGATGACCTTACAGCAAACTACAGACCAATTAGCCTTATTTACTGTGACAATGTTGGTCCTATGGCTACTAAGTCCTGAAATAAACCATCTCTGTTCTCTAAAACAAGCAACAGTAAAAAATAAAGGGGAAAAAAATTTGCCATGTTCGGCTGTTTTTTATAGATTGGTACATTAGCTGGGGAGGAGCACACAGCTCCAAATTGCACATAAAGATTGGGCTCTGTGAGAATAATTAAAGTTTCAAGTTTTTTTTTGTTTTTTGTTTTTTTTTAGGCAGAAATTTAAACATAAATAAAATGTTCACACTTTCAAGGGGCCGTGGCTTCATATTTAGCAATACGGAGACAGGTGGATGAAAAAGCACAGCGTATGGAGTCTGTAAAGTACTTTTATAAAAATCACAGCTGAAATAAACGGCTGATCAAACTTGTCACAAAATTGTTTTACGTCACATTATTTCACAATCATGTGTATAAACTGCCAGTTTCATGTAATTAGAGACTGGGCAATCTTGCATTCTGCAATTCATATACTCTTTATAATTTAGGATGAATAATTTAATTTATGGAAATTAACCTTTAAAAAAAAGAAGAGGCATGTGTTTTAAATTGATCTATATGTCTTTTATTTAGATGTGTGTGTGTGTGTGTGTGTTTTTTTTGTGTGTCTTTAACTTTACTGTGTTTTCTGTTATTAGGCGGCATGTTTATGGCTACTGGTGGCACAGATCACATGATCAGAGTCTACTACCTCGGTGCAGAAACTCCGGTGAAGGCGTCTGAGCTGGATGCTCACACCGTAAGAAACAACAGCAGTTTTTCTCATCCTTTTTTGGTTGTTTTGTCTCGTCAGTCTAATGTGACTCATTTTAATTCTTGCCCACTGCTTGTGTTTGTAGGATAAAGTTGTGGTTGTCCAGTTCAGCAATAACGGTGACAGGTAAGAAGTAAAATTTCAGAGACAGCCTTTCGTTGTGTCTCTGGGGGTCTGACGGTTTATCGTATGCGTTTCCAGCCTCAGGTTTGTGAGTGGCAGTCGTGACGGCACAGCGAAGATCTGGCATTTTCAGCAGCAAGAGTGGAAAAGCATTACTTTAGACATGACTGCGAGGCTTCCTGCGTAAGAGAGCACTCTGAAGTATATTAAATGCAACAGACGCTCTGAACAACGTTTTTGTTATTTTAATGTTTCATGTCTTTCCGTTAGGACTGCTGCCGCTAATGGGGACGATAAAACCAAGCTGGTGGTGACCATGGTGGCCTGGGATCGCATCGACAGCACCGTCATCACAGCAGTTTCCAACTATATGCTCAAAGTGTGGCGCGCCACCTCTGGCCAGCTTCTGCATGTTTTGTCCGTAAGCAGCCAAAATATTTTTAATCCTGCGGATCATTTGGGAAGACGTCACAACGTAGCCAGCGGTTTCCAGCAAGTTTTCATTATGCGTGTCTACTGCCTTCTTTAGGGACATGATGATGAAGTGTACGTACTGGAAGCCCACCCCTTCGACCCCCGCATTATGCTGTCTGCAGGCCATGACGGCAACATTTACATCTGGGACCTGAGCAAAGGAGTCAAGATAAGAAATTTCTTCAACATGGTAACCGACCAACTTGGAGAGCTGCTACCCCTAAGTAATCATGTGTTCGTTAGCATTTGCTTGACATTTTGGCGTCTTCTTCCCAGATTGAGGGCCAGGGCCACGGAGCCATTTTTGACTGCAAGTTCTCAGCTGACGGACAACATTTTTCCTGCACAGACTCACACGGGCATTTACTCATTTTTGGCTTTGGCTGCAGCAGGCCTTACGAAAAGGTATCAGCCCGTCGGCTTGTGATCTGTGACTTCCTCTTTCACGGAAACACGGGGAAACGGAAAAGTTTGGATGGCGGATTTTTTTTCTGCTGATGCTCGTTTGAATGAAAATGTAGATCTCACAATATGCACACGTGTCATACTTTTGTACACAGAATATTATTTTGACTAGTGTTGAACAGTTAGTGTACTTTTTAATAAAAAAAATAAAAAAAAAACTGAGAGGGATATGGCCGAACAAATCCAAAAGTTGCAAAAGGTTGATGGTTGGCGGGGTAAAGTAAGCCCGTCGCGGTAAGCAATAAATCGCATGGTAAATTAAAATTTCATTCTTATGACTGAAAGCCAAGTTTGTTTATAGAGACATGATAATCTGTTTTATATGTGGTTTTGGTTGTGTGTGCTTTTTATTTCCTCTTTATTTGTTTTTGGTTGTTTTATGTTGGATATTTAAAATGTCTTCCAGTTCCAGTGTTCTGTACAAAATTAGAGTTTATCAGTCTTTGATAGGGTGGACTTATGTAATTATACCACTTTACCTGAAAATGGTCTCAAAACGACAATAACAGTAGATGTCAAACAGCTGCAGCTTTTTAAAAATTTATTTTATTTTGATGTAAATAATGGATTTGGTATTTTTATCTAAAGTCCATGCTTAATATAAATCCAAAGTGGAAAATGTTTTTTTTTTTTTTTTTTTACTGTTACCATTTTTTAAATTAGTTTTTCTATTGAAATCATATCATTGCCAAGACATTCATCATAATTATGGCCCGCTTTCCCGATCTCGTGTTTTCTCTTGATCCCTTGAAGATTCCAGACCAGATGTTCTTCCACACGGACTACCGGCCTCTCATTCGGGATTCCAATAACTACGTCCTGGACGAGCAGACACAGCAGGCCCCCCACCTCATGCCGCCCCCCTTCCTCGTAGATGTGGATGGAAATCCTCATCCTCCTAAATACCAGCGGCTCGTCCCAGGAAGGGAGAACTGCAAAGAGGAGCAGCTGATACCTCAGCTCGGATACATGGCTAATGGTGGGGAAAAAAAAAAAAGAAAAGAAAAATCACTGAAAACTTTCCTGACACACCAACATGGGTCAATTTAGGGGATCTGACCGACAGAGTTTAACCAGCATTCTGCTCCGTTAGGTGACGGAGAGTTGGTCGAGCAGGTGCTCGGGCAGCAGACGGCAGAAAACGGCGAAAGCCTTTTGGACAACCTCATCAGACAGCTGCAGAACGAGCAGGACGAACGGCAGAACGCAGAACAACAGGCCGACGGAGAAATGGGTTGGTACTTCCACTTTTTACGCCCTTGCTAGCAGTTTGTCAGATACTTTCACCCTTAACCTGTAAAAAAAAAAAAAAAGTGACTCGAACTCTAAACGAATGAATGCTTTGGCAGCCGTCGAGGCGGAAGTGGTGGCCTCTTCTCCTGGGGCGGAGCCTCGCCGAAGCGGCCAGGTGGACGGAGTGTGGCAGATGCAGCACAACTCCCTCCGCAGTCAGGTTGCCACAGAGAGGGACCTGCTGGCGTGGAGCCGCAGAGTGGTGGTCAACGAGGTGCCTCATGGGACATTCAGGTGAGCCGGGTGTATTTCAGGGGAGTCGCATGGGACGGACGATCGCTAGGCAGCATGTAATTGTGAAACCGAAGAAAAATATTAATCTCATTCAAAAGATTACAAGCAAATTTGGCCTATTCCACAAATCTAACCTTTAAAAATAAATTAAGCTATTTTTCTGGTAATATGTAATGTGTGAATCAAAACATGGAGGTGGCAGCATCATGCTGTGGGAAGCTAACTACACTGGCGTACTTGAGACATCTTCCAGCTCTAAAACGGTGCTGAATAGGCAACCTGGGATGATGGTCAGATTTTTGTTGAAAATAAATTAGTAAATTATTATATATAAAACATTTAAAAAAATGATCTAGCACAACTGCATTTCTTAGACATTCCCACAGTTTTAACATTTTTGGGTTGTTTTTCTTATTTGAGAAGTAAGATTTGCTTCTAAAAATACGTAGGTCAATGTTTTTACTCCAAAATTAAGATAATTGCAAAGATGAATGGTTGATAAAATGGGAATCTATTTTTTGTTTTTTTGTGGGGTTTTTTTGGATATATATTTTTAAGAAGTTATCTGTAAAAAAAAATAAAAATAAAATGTTGCCCCAAAAAATGGGAACGTGTCCATCTACATCCATTCACTTGGAGGCCAGGTGGGCTCCACTTAAGGGGCCGCTCAAAGTCCTTCAGAGGTCCTCAAATGGCCCCCGGGCCGCACTTTGGACACCATGGATGCTTTAACTTCTACCTCATAGTCCTGCATTATTTTATGTTGCTGTATCATTTAAAATCCAAATTGAATTGGCAGAAGTTTTAAATAAATGTTTTAATTCTGCCGACAATGTGCATATATATATATTTTTTTATTTCCCTTAGAGTCCTGGAGGAATGCAGACAAGCCAAAAGTGACATGGAGTGTTCTCTGTACAACGCAGAGAGGAGAAAGAAACCGGTAACCTGCATCCTCAAGGTACGCAGTACCTCCAGTCCACTTTGTTCCCGACTCGGAACGGACATCCATTCACATCGTTTCATTAAAAGAAAATGCCGTTCATATTTTAAATTCTCTAGAGCGATTCCCTCAGTTCCCGCCTGCGTTCCCTGCGCCCGGCCAAGAAAAAGCAGCAGCGCCACTCCTACCAAACCCGGTCCGCTCAGGTTCGCCGGCCCGGAACCAGAAGTCGAAATCCCAGCAACAGGCGTAACTCGGAAAGCCAGATGGACTCGGACAGCGGAGACGTACGCTGCGCCCTTCTGTTCAGCACGTCTGAATCGGACGTGAAGAATTTGTATTTGCAACAACGTTGAAAATTAAAGCGGAATATATTTTGTGTTTTCAGGAAGCGGAGCAGGCAGCGCGTTCTGACGGTTCCTCTGAGGATGAAGCCCGGTGGCAGAGCGAAAGCAGCTCCAGGTAAACATGCTTGACCGAGCGACGTTTTACCAGCTTTCCCATCATCCGACTAAAGTCTCCCGCCTGGGGTTTACAGCGACTCTTCCAGTGAATATTCCGATTGGACGGCTGACGCCGGGATCAACCTTCAGCCGCCAAAGAGGCCGACCAGGAGGCCCGTCCGGCCCGCGGGCTACAGCAGCTCCGAGGAGGAGGAGGGCGGCGACGAGACCAAGGAGGCAAAGAAGAGAGAGAATGAGAAGAAGAAGAAACCCAAAGAAACCAAACAGGTGAGCGCTAACGAGACAAGCTGCTGTGGCATTTACTGTGAAATTCTCTTTTTAAAATAAATAAATAAAAAACATGCGTTTCTGTGTTTCACTCAGAAACCCACTTCTTCTCTGGCCGGGCTTAACGCAGAGGAGTGGCTGCCGCCGTCATGGATAATGGACACCATCCCTCGCCGCTCTCCTTTTGTCCCACAAATGGGAGATGAAGTGAGAGCCTTTTCCCTGATGCTGAACAAAGCCACACATTGCACTGCTCACATGATTTAACAGAGGCTCTCCTTTCTTTCCCTCCCCGTCCAGCTCATCTACTTCAAGCAGGGCCATCAGGCGTACGTGCGGGCCGTCCGCAGAGCCAAGGCCTACAGCGTCAACATCCAGAAGCAGCCGTGGAACCGGCTCAACCTCAGGGTGAGGATTGTTGGAGATGGCAGATATATATATTTTTTTATTGAATTTCTGAGCCTCATACTTCAGCCTCCTTTAAGCTGTTGTCGATTTAAAAAAAGAAAGAAAAAAAGTTTTCTCTGTTTTACTTCCTCAGGACCAGGAATCTGTGAAAGTGGTTGGAATCAAGTACGAAGTGGGACCGCCCACCCTCTGCTGCCTAAAGCTGGCGTTTTTGGACCCAGTCTCAGGGAAGATGACCAACGAGTCGTTCTCCTTAAAGTGAGCAACGAAAGGCGCTACACGCAGCTCCTCGCAAAAAAAATGTTCACACGCCTCAAATTTTTACCCACGATAGCCACAAACTTCAATGTATTTTGTTGGATTTTTCTGTGACAGATTGTCATACAGTAGGGCAGTAATTGGAAAATGGATAAAAATCTGCTAAATACAGTGCAACCATCTTCCTTGACAGGAAGTTGGGCCTTTTGGGCCATACGTTGTCTGCTTTAGGAGCCACGGCAAACATTTGATACATTAATGAAGGATTAAAATAAATAAAAGCAAGCCACACTTATGAGATTATCATTTGTAAATATTTTGAAATCATTTAACATTTTCTATCACTTAAAATCTCATTAAAACACACTTAAGGTTTCTGTTTTCAACATGACATCGAGCGTGAAAAAGTTCAAGAGGTATAAACGCCTAACGCAGTGCCGCATCAGCAGCTGATTAAAAGCCACAATAAATGTCAGGGTCTGTTTCCATTCCCCCTCCGTGTTTCCAAGGTATCACGATATGCCAGACGTCATCGACTTTCTGGTACTGCAGCAGTTCTACAACGAGGCTAAAGAGCGCAACTGGCAGCCAGGTTTGTTTGTCCCCATCTGATTTTTTTCATTTATTTTTTTCTTCAAATAGGTTTACAATCAACTCGTGTGGATCCCAGTATTTAACAAAGACTTGATCCCCTCTGCAGGGATGAGGTTTCGTAGCATCATTGACGACGCCTGGTGGTTCGGATCTGTGGAGGACCAGGAGCCGCTGCAGCTGGAGTATCCCGACAGCCTGTTTCAGTGCTACGCCGTGAAGTGGGTCTAATGTGCACAGCTGCTGGAAGAGCGCTCCGCTCCACAGCCATGTTTGTCTTTGCTTGGGTGATTTCAAACGTTAACGCAGAGTTGTGTTTTATCGCGCTGACCCAGGTGGGATAATGGTGAGCGGGAAAAAATGAGTCCCTGGGACATGGAGCCTATTCCAGAAGAAGGTTGGTGATTCTGTTTACTGTGGAAACCAGATGTTTTATAGGCATTAAAAAAAAACCAAGTTTATTTTCTCACTCTCTGGCTGAATCGGGCTAAACATTTTTATTTTTTATTTATTTTTTTT